AATATTAACGACAAGTGGTTTAATTGAATGCATTTAAATAGTTGAGTGACTTGATTAACAAAATTTTAAAAATTGTGGTCAAAATAAAAAGGGGCAATACTTAGGTGTCATTAGTATAATTTACCTTTTATTTTAAATAATTTACATTTAAATTTCAACTAATTTATAATTTCACGTTGAGTCCTTTATAATTGGTGCTCATCAATATTCGTCGAGCGTTGTAGAATTTCCTTAGAGAAATAATTAAAAATACAAAGAGAGAGACATTATAGTAATTATTCTTATTTTTTCATTTTTATTTAATAAAAACATAAAGATAATTGAAAGATATAGAGAGACATTATAGTATTTAGGAAAATTCTACCACGCTCGACAAGCGACAATGAGCATCATTAATGATCAACACCATTAATTTAATTTATAAAATTTAAAATTTTAAAGGCTTAATCATATAATTATGAATTAGTTAAAAATTAAAGGTAACTTATTTAAAATAAAGGGTAAATTATAATAGTGATCACGTAACTATTACCCATTTTCATTTTTACAACAATTTTTGAAATTTTATCAATCATGTCACTCAACTATTTAAATGTATTCAAATAAGCTACTTGCCATTAATATTTAACGAAGGAGTTGATGAGGCAATTAAAATATTTGGTATAATTACAATTTGGTCAATGTTACTTATATATTCTATCAATTTGGTCCTAATTTTAATAAATTAAAATAAATTTAACCCTTCGACTTTGGCTTAAAAACTCCAACATAATATAAACTATCAATTTGGGGGAAAAACTATTTTTGAATTAAAAAAGTTAAATTCAAGTATCTAATTTGAGATTAAAATGAAAAAAGTATCATATTGAAAATTAAAATCAAATTCAAGTATCGAATTGAAACAAAAAAATATTAAAAACACGTTACTCTAGTTTTATGGGTGCTTACTAACGCAGTTGAATCCAACAATTCATCTAAATAACTTTACAGCAAGCATATCAAAATGTAAAAAATAAAAAATTATGAAGTCACCGTTCTTGCATTGCATAACTTCAAAGTTCATACACTGACAAAGGTGAAGTTCAATGTTTAAAGGTCAAAACAACTGCACAAGCCTCAATAGAAAACTTAAAAAATACAAAGAAAATCATCAACCTGTTTTGGCATTGCTGGTAGTAGATTCCGACATTCGATTTCTATGTGCATTAATAAAAAAAATAGATTTCCATGCACAATTTATTCATTTCAATTGTTATTTTTAATAAAATAGTATCAAATTACACGCGAGATTAGTCACAGTGGGTGACAATTTTTTCATTTTAATATTTAAAATTATATTTTATTATGTAACCAAAATTTATTTTTTGGTTAGGATTTTGCTTTTATTTATTTCTTTATCATTTAAAAAAATATTAAAATTATTTTCTTCATTTTATTATGTCAAAGGTATCAACAATTCTAATGTCGATTCCTTTTACCCAACAAAGGATCACTTTTACAATTATTGTTCAAAACAAACTATTTCCCAAACCAATTTCTCAAGATACAATGTCGATTCCTTTTACCCAACAAAGGATGACTTTTGCAATTTTGTTGCTATTACTAGCTTTGAGGGTTAAATTTATTTTAGTTTAATAAAATCAAGACCAAATTGATAGAATATATAAGTAACAATAACCAAATGTGTAATTATATCAAATATTTTAACTGTCACACTAATTTTTCCGTTAAATATTAACGGCAAGTGGCTTAATTGAATACATTTAAATAGTTGAGTGACCTGATTGACAAAATTTCAAAAACGGTGGTCAAAATGGAAAGGGGCAATAGTTAAGTGATCACTGTTATGTTTACCCTTTATTTTAAATAATTTATCTTTAATTTTTTAACTAATTTATAATTATATGTTGATTCCTTTAGAATTTTAAATTTTATAAATTAAATTAATTATGCTCATCGTTAGTGATGCTCATCACCGCTCGTCGAACGCAGAAGAATCATCCTAATAATTATCCTCAACTATATAAAGGAGAATCATATTACTATCCGAAATCAAGGTTTTTAAGTCAAAACTTGATTCCAATCTAATCTAAATTTATCATTCACAAAATTTTAATCTTAAAATATTTTAGAAAAGGTTAACTACATGGTTAGTCACATAACTTTTAGTTTTGTACACTTTTGGTCACTGATTTCAAAATTCATAGGATATGGTTACATACGTTTTTATTTAAACAAAATTTGGTCACCCGGAGCTAACGGACGTTAAAAACAGTTAAATATTCTAATATATTCACACATTTGGTCCCTGTTATTTACATGTTCTCTCAATTTACTCATACTTTTAATAAATTAAAATAAATTATATAATGAAAATAAATTATTTTTAAATTAAGTTAATAGTAAAATATATTTAAAAAGTTAATATAAAAATATTTTAAGTTAATATATATATAATTATATTATATATAATTCGGGTCACGAGTACCAGGTTCATAATTTTTTTATTTTTTCTTTAAATTATATATATATATTTAAATTATATAAAAAATTCTAAAATTTAAAAGTCTATAATATATATAATCCACACATAAAGTTCAAAAATTCGAATTATATAATTGAAATAAAATTTATTAAAATTTAAATTAAAGAAGTATAATTAAATTTCAAATGTTTTGAAGTTAAAATAAATATTTAAAAAAATTAGAACATTAATGTGAAATAATTTAAGAAATTTAGAATTCAAAACTTCATGGTGTAAAAATTTAAGAAATTAGGATTTTAGAATGTTAAAGTGAAATAATTTGAGGAATATGAAAATAAATTAATATAAAATGAAAATGAAAACATGTAATAAATCGAGTTAGAGGGTACCCGGTTAACCAACATTTTGTGTCCCATGCTCGACCCAAAAACCTGGTCAGGTACCCAACCCAGAAAATCATTTTTTTTTATTATAAATAACCAATATTTTTTAACTGGATCAGCAGGTTGACGGATCAACTCAGTTAGCCCGAGTATTTTTGAACAACCTTACTGGCAGGACATGTGTCATCGTTCGATTAGATTATTAAACTTATTTTAATTTATTAAAAGTATGACTAAATTGAGAGAATATGAAATAACAGAGATCAAATGTGTGATTATATCAAGAATATTTAACTGTTGATAATGACAGTTAACTCGGGGTGACCACATCGTAATTAAATAAACATGAAAGTGACAATATCTTAATTAAATAAAAAAATAAGTGATCATATCTTATGTATTTTGAAATCAGTGACAAAAAATAGATAAAATCAAAAGTGACAATATCTTAATTAAAATAAACTGGCCTAATAAAATCAAGTCAAAGGGTTTCAAATAATTTGATCACCTTTATCTATTATTGAGAGGATGATGTGACACGTTAATTTAATTATTAATATATCACCCAACTCTTAAACTTTGTTAAAATCTAATTTTGATATATTTTTAATATTTTGAGAAAAAAATAATAATATAAAAAATCTTATTTTTCATATATATATATATATATAATTTATAATTTGCTAATTATAAAAGTATTTTTAAAATTATAATAATATAATATTTCATTAAAAATCATAAATTTCTTTATTTTTTTATTTTTTTAAATTTGGCTAATTATTTAGTTTGAGATCATATATTATAATTCAAAAAATATATGTAATACAAACTCAAATAAAAAATTTGAAGTGATAATATAATTTGAGAACTTTAAAAATATTTGTTCTTAAATTTCGTAAAAATGTTGTTAAAAGAATACATGTGTTAACACAAACCATGTCAAATGAACACTGACATTAACACGCATGCATTAAACCCTTTTTTTCATAATACAGTCTTCCAGCGATCAAGCAGCTTCCAAGACTTCCTTCTGCAGCACAGGCACCAGCTCCAGCGGTCGTTCAGTAAAGATATGAATCCCACTAGGACCACCACGGTTCATCGCAACAAGGCGATCAGCGGCTACATTCTGCTCCCTTCTGATATGACTTAGCTTGATGGTCCAATCACGATCCCGGCAATCAAAAATGGCATCAACTAAACTGTTTCCCGCTAATGCCTCAGACGATCTGATCCATATTTTATGCAATTACAAATAAGAAATTATATTTAAATGCTCTTAGTAATTTATATACACCATTAATATGGGCATCTCATTAACCATGACAAGAAATTCTGCAGATAGCTATGCAATGTGATTGGCTACTTTGAAAATGAATGTTTTGGGCATTACTGGGGTCGGTCGAAATGTTAATGGAAGAGATAAGGTTATAAATATGAGCCAGTAGCTGTTATTATGAGATTATATTACTGGTCTTAACACAGCTCAACCACCATGCCCCTGACTGATAATGAGCCCCACCACCCCTAAAGCCTTTAATATTTGTATTTGATGCATTTATTCTATGAAAAACTTGTTCAACTGAGTCGAGGTTTACTTGCTTTACAAAACTGGTTATAAATAAAACCCATTGTATTATTAGCCTATTAAACTGCAGAACTAATTTGGGCTGGGCATGGTACAATAGTTTATGAGAAAAATAAAAGAAGATTGTGCAGAGGAGTTCACGAGCATCATCATAAAGATTCCTTGTCTTCAGTGGTTCCTACAGTAACTAACAATACCAAAAGAAACGTTTCGGAAAATGGCTTCTCCATGAAAGATTTTGGACTTTTTGTACCTTCCCTTTTCTGATTGATTAGTTTTTGGCTTTTCCTCTCGTCCTTCCTCTAACTTGTTTATTATTTATTATTTATTATTACTAATACGGTACTAAAAAATAGTTACCCCACATCTTTCCCATTGGTAGCAGTACAATAGTAAGCTGGTACCTGATTTATTCACTCATCCAAGCATCTATCTAATACCAACTGATTTTGTTCTTTTTCTTCATAGAGAATCTCTCTGTACCATATGCCATACTCTTTTCTTCTTCTCAATCAAACCAGCTCCCCTCTGCATCATTGCTAGAATGTCATTGCCATTGGTCCAGCAGCCCCCACCGGTGACCTTGGCGCAGCAGCCCTATAGATCTCACGCCACCCATGCTTCCATCGGCCCTGTTATTGCTGTGCTTTTGGTGATCATAGTCTTAGGCATAGTCGCCGGCATGATCGGACGGCTCTGCAGTGGGAGGAAAATCATGGGATATGGTCAGTGTGACATCCAAAGTTGGGTTGAAACAAAATTCTCTTCTTGCATTGACGGTAGGGTATATCCTCCCCAACAACCAAGTGGTAATGCTTCTGCTGCCTCAGTTCCACCGTCAATTCAACACCAACCACAGCAAACCACCACCGCCCCTTAAATGCCTGTTCTTAACGCCGCTCCTTGTCTATGACTGCATTGTCTTGCTGCTAAATGATTTTCTATGTTATATTCTTCTCGACTTTGTCACTTTATTCACGCTAGCTAGTTTAGTTGGAGCATTTGGCAGTAAAGCTCAGTTGGAGTTGATTCTGTACTTGGGTTAGCCATTGCTAAACTTTGAACCATGTGTCCATATTTTAAAACTGAAATGCTTTAGCACTTTCACTTTGGTTTAATTTTCAGTCTCTTTAACAGGGAAGTTATCATTATTCTTCGTTGAAGAAATCGGGAATTAAAGTGATGTTATTAGGGAAACTAAGAAATCTCAACGGTTCAAAAGCCTAATTAGGCATTCACAACATGCATTGAAAATTGAATCTTAGTGTTATCATTTGACATTTAAAACATTAATTTTGTTAGGCGAGTAATAAAGTTATCGAATTATATGACCCAAAAAAAACAATTTAATATTTTTTAATTGAGAACAATAACTATGAGCACCAGAAATATGAACCTGGAAATCTAGCTAGCACTTGAGCAAAGGAAGTACCGAATCAAATGGTGGTCAAAAAGCATAGGTAGCAGCAACAAATATGTGATCAGGTAAACTTTAATCCACCACCGCAATGCAATTATGCAGCTTCTTACATTCATTTGATTGCTTTATTCATAAAGGCAGTTATCAACAATGTCCCAGAGAGGAGAATATCATAGCCAACATCAGAGTAACTTGTTGAGAAATAAACGATAACAAGTAATTTCCCTATAACCAGATTTGTGAGAATGCGAAATAAAAACGGAAAAATAATACCGAAATTGAAAACGGAGTTCATGCAATTGTGCTTACGTCTCCGGACTGCTGCAGATCTTTTACTAAGAGAGAAAATTTACAGGTGTTTACAAAACACTCACTACTCACAAGAAACTCTCTAGTATTGGGAGAAAGAAATGATTTGGGATCTGGTAAAACCACTGCTACTCATGAAGCTATCGAACTTCTTGTACCACTGTCTAGGAGCTTGTTTTAAACCATACAAGCTCTTCTTCAACCTGCATACCAGGTTTTTCTTTCCTGCCTCTATAAAGCTTTCTGGCTGCCTCATATAGATTTTTTCCTCCAAATCACCATGAAGGAAAGCTGTCTTTACATCTAACTGCTCAAGATGTAAATTCTCTACAGATACAATTTTCAACACTAGCCTGATTGTAGACAGTTTTACGATTGGAGAGAAAATTTCATTGTAGTCAATATATTCTTTTTTGCAGAAAACCTTTGACAACCAATCTTGCTTTATAGAGTTTGCTCCCATCGTGCTCTTTTTTGATCCTGTAAATCCATTTGTTATGGAGCGCTTTCTTTCCTGGTGGTAATTCAGCTAATTCCCACGTCTGATTTGACATAAGCGACTCCATCTCATCTTTCATGGAAGACTCTCACTTGACTGAATCCTCCACCTGCATTGCTTCATCATAGCACTCTGGTTCACCATTGTCAGTCAACAACAAGTAGTGCAAAGAAGGCGAATAATGCTGGGTTGGTTTAGGAATTCTGGAGGAGCGTCTTAGTTCTGGTGTGCCTGGTTCTTCTTGAACTTCTTCAGGACTGATTTGAACATCATTTCCAGAAATCTCCTTGAACTCAGCAAATTCCTTTGTTTCAACTGGTAATCAGAGCTTTTGGTTGTGAATTTTGTCAAATTTTTTGCGAGGTTACTATTCATTATTATTCACGTGAATAGTGAATTTCGTGAATAGTAAAAAAAATTATCGGCGATACGAATTTGTCGACGGAGGTGTTCTAATACACGGTGGTTCGCAAGAATTGTCAGAAACGATCCAAACGAAGCCAGATTCGAGTGGGAGCGATTGCTGCAGAATAAGGGAAGGTGAAAATTGAAAAGTTCGATGGTGCGGACTTTGGCTTTTGGAAGATGCAGATTGAAGATTTTATGTACCAGAAAAATCTATATCAACCTCTCTCAGGAAAGCAACCAGAGGGCATGAAGAATGAAGACTGGGCTCTTCTCGACAGACAAGCCCTCAGAGTTATCCGACTGACGTTGTCCCGAAATGTTGCTTTCAACATAGCAAAGGAAAAGACCACGGCGGGTCTTATGGAAGCTCTCTCCAATATGTATGAGAAGCCATCGGCCTCAAACAAAGTTCATTTGATGAGGCGATTATTCAATTTGCGGATGGCGGAAGGGGAATCAGTGGGTCAACACCTAAATGAACTCAACACAATCACAAACCAGTTGAGTTCCGTGGAAATTGAATTCGATGATGAAGTTCGAGCTTTAATTATCTTATCATCTCTATCAGACAGTTGGAATGCTACTGTTACAGTAGTCAACAGCTCGTCAGAAAACATCAAATTAAAATTCGACGATGTTCGAGATCTGGTATTGAGTGAAGAAATTCGACGGAGAGAATCGGGTGAAGCATCAACCTCCTCAGCCTTGCACACGGAGTCTAGAGGGAGAACTTCAGAAAGAAATTCAAATCGTGGCAGATCGAAATCCAGAACGGGAAAATCAAGAACGGGAAATAAAGATTTTACCTGTTATAATTGTGGCAAGAAGGATCACTTTAAAAGAGGTTGTCGAGCACTGAAGAAAGATATCGGTGCACTGGAATCTACCAACATGACAGATGAGACAGGTGATGTCATGATTCTAACCGTCAACAGTCTGATTAAATCATGGATCTTGGATTCAGGGGCATCTTTCCACTCCACCCCATGCCAAGAAATCATGGAGAATTATGTCAGTGGTGATTTTGGGAAGGTTCATCTAGTTAATGATGAAACCTTGAAGATTGTTAGAAAAGGAGACATCCGACTAAAGTTGCCAAACCAGACCACCTGGAAGCTGAAAGGAGTGAGACATATTCCAGGCCTCAAAAGAAATTTGATTTCTGTAGGACAGCTTGATGGAGAAGGATATAGCACAACCTTTTCAGGTTGTGAATAGAATATTACCAAAGGAGCACTCGTCATTGCTCGTAGTAAGAAGACTGACACTCTCTATGTAACATCAAATTTAGAGAATATCATTGTTGTAGCAGATGCTGATGGAAAATCAAACCTATGGCACCAAAGGCTTGGCCATATGAGCGAGAAAGGGATGAAGACACTTTTGTCAAAAGGGAAGCTGTCGGATCTAAAGAATGTAGATGTCGGACTATGCGAGGATTGTATCTTTGGCAAACAAAAGAAAGTCAGTTTTGCAAAGAATGACAAGACACCCAAGGCAGAAAAGTTAGAGTTAGTTCATACTGATGTATGGGGATCATCTCCAGTTCCATCTCTTGCAGGCTCACTATATTATGCCACCTTCATCGATGATTCAACAAGGAAGGTGTGGGTTTATTTTCTGAAGAAGAAATCATAAGTCTTTGATACCTTCAAAAAATGGAAGGTCATGGTGGAAAATGAGACTGGTTTGAAAGTCAAGCAGCTGAGGTCTGACAATGGAGGAGAGTACAGAAATAGTAGATTCAGATATTTCTGTGCAAACAATGGGATCAAGATGGAGACAACAGTTCCCATGACACCGCAGCAGAATGGCGTAGCAGAACGCATGAACATAACTCTGAATGAACGTGTCAGAAGCATGAGGATACATGCCGGATTGCCCAAATTGCTATGGGCTGAAGCTATCAACATTGCAGCTTACCTGATCAACCGTGGGCCCTCAGTTCCCTTGGATGGCAGAATACCAGAGGAAGTTTGGAGCAAGAAAGAAATAAACCTTCACACTTAAGAGTGTTTGGTTGTATTTCTTATGTACACATAAATTCTGCTGAAAGAAGTAAAATTGACGCCAAGTCCAACAAATGTGTCTTTGTTGGTTATGGTGGTGATGAGTTCGGTTATCGGTTTTGGGACTATGAAAATCGGAAGACCATCAGAAGTAGAGATGTCATTTTCAATGAGAATGTGATGTACAAAGACAAATCAACCATAAAATCAAGTAGCTCCAATATCGAAGCTGAAACAAAGGAATTTGCTGAGTTCGAGGAGATTTCTATAAATGATATTCAGATCAGTCCTGAATAAGTTCAAGAAGAACCAGGCACACCAGAACTGAGACGCTCCTCCAGAATTCCTAAACCAACCCAACATTATTTTCCTTCTTTGCACTACTTGTTACTGACTGACAATGGTGAACCAGAGTGCTATGATGAAGCAATGCAGGTGGAGGATTCAGTCAAGTGAGAGTCTTCCATGAAAGATGAGATGGACTTGCTTATGTCAAATCAGACGTGGGAATTAGCTGAATTACCACCAGGCAAAAAAGCGCTCCATAACAAGTGGATTTACATGATCAAAGAAGAGCACAATGGGAGAAAACGCTACAAAGCAAGATTGGTTGTCAAAGGTTTTCAGCAAAAAAAGGTATTGACTACAATGAAATTTTCTCTCCAGTCGTAAAACTGTCTACAATCATACTGGTGTTGAAAATTGTAACTGCAGAGAATTTACATCTTGAGCAGTTAGATGTAAAAACAGCTTTTCTTCATGGTGATTTGAAGGAAGAAATCTATATGAGGTAGCCAGAAGGCTTCATAGAGGCAGGCAAGAAAAACCTGGTATGTAGGTTGGAGAAGAGCTTGTATGGTTTAAAACAAACTCCTAGACAGTGGTACAAGAAGTTCGATAGCTTCATGAGTAGCAGTGGTTTTACCAGATCCCAAATCGTTTCTTTCTCCCAATACTAGAGAGTTTCTTGTGAGTAGTGAGTGTTTTGTAAACACTTGTAAATTTTCTCTCTTAGTAAAAGATCTGCAGTAGTCCGAAGACGTAAGCACAATTGGATGAACTCCGTTATCAATTTCGGGTATTATTTTTCCATTTTTATTTCGCATTCTCACTAATATGGTTATAGGGAAATTATTTGTTATCGTTTATTTCCCAACATAACTAAGCTGTCAAGTTGTTGGTCTCCGTTATAAGGACCATTTACAACCCACTTTATCAGCTACTTAAATGTCAACAATATTAAGGCTCTGCCAACACCCCTCATCCTCCCCCCACATAACACAAGGGATAAAACCTGTCTTCAACCATCTTAAAGTGATTCAAAATAGGGCCATTAACAACAAATTATGCAAAGAATAGCTCTTTCAACTTGCTATATCTTCTACTTCCCTACGTAGTACACGAACCTGTTGTGAAACTAACTTTCTAATTTGCAACTCAAATGGAGAACAGATGCCCTTTCCAATAATCCACAAGGATTCTCCAAATTTTGCATGTTTTTTTTTATTGGGGCGGTCTTTCTCATTCACTCCCATGCATTTTCCCTATTTTGGTTTCTGGCCTTGAGAATTTAGCATCTTGTCCGATCCTCTAAAGCCCAAATATTAGATTTCATAGCTCTTTTTATATATAAGTATTAAATTATTCATACTCAATTTTATCTATAAATTTATGGTTAGACACACTTAAATTTATGGTTATAACTAGAGGATAACAATGAGTTAAAACTCAATCGACAAATTTCATAATCTAATACGATGCTTGGTATCAATATAAATAAAATCTTTGAAATTAAAAGGTCTTCTCTAGAAAGTCAAAGTTTGTTCATTGATTTAACATACTTCGGTTAACATTCAACTCCTCCAAGTAAAAGGAATTTGGAGAAATAGCGTCGATTGACCGGGATGTCGGGCCTGCAAGTGTATAACATGGAAAACCATTCAACCAACCCACACCCGGTTGTACTCCGATGATCTTAATGGTTCCATACTCATTAAAAAATTCTAAACCTTTAGTTCTATAACAAAGTGGAAATCCACCCAATCTTTCATGACCAAATGTTGCTCTTCAGCCCTTTTAAATGACAATAAGTCAGTGAGAAATGGGATGATCTCATCATTATTTTGTATGCTTTCATGCTTGACAATGAGGTAAATTAGCTGATGAGGAAAGAATTTAAAACTAGTTTTAATCAAGCTCCCTAAGTTTGAATAGCAGCTACAGAAAACAAACATGTAATTCTAGAGGAGGCTGCCGTTGAAGAATCATATATAAACATTTGTCTCCTATATAAACCCCAATGGACACTCCCTTTGAAATCACCAACATCTCATCATTCCATTTCCAGTCAAGTTTTCTTTTAAGCCCATTAAAGAAACTTGAGAGCTAATGGCTTCTTCCGGTTCCAATACTGCTCAACAAGGCCTCCTCTTGGTAGCAGTAGCTGCCTCTCTTTTGGCAGTCACTCAGGCTGCAACCGTGGTGGTTGGAGGCACTGATCACTGGCGCTATGGTTACAACTATACGGAGTGGGCAGCCAACACTGCACCATTCTACTTTGAGGACACCCTAGGTTCAATCCCAACCAGACCATATCTTTTAAGTCCTGTTAGAAAAAAACGCGCACACATTAATCCGAGAATGATATATAAACATAATAATGATAATAAAAATCATTATAAAAATAAAAGGAATAAAACGAGTTTACTATCTTAAGATTATGGACCGAAGTAACAATATGAGGCGAAATAAATCCTAAGAAAATCAAAAAAAGAATTTTTTTTAAGGAGAATAAAAGTTCTTGAATTATGAGTTGTGAAAAACCTACCAAGTTTCTTCACTATTTTTTGAGGATTTTCAAGATATATTTAATCCAAACAAATATCTTTTAATATTCAACTTTAAACTGATAATAATATCTTTTAATTTGAAATATTCAAATATAAAACACCTTTTACCATTCAAACTTAAATAGATATTATTTTAGTTTGAAATATACAAAAGTATATAATTATTTTTAATATTCAAAGTAAAAAACGTAACAAATATCTTTTTAAATTGACATATTCAAAGAGTAATATTCTTACTAATATTCAAATTAAATAGTATATTTAATTTGCAATGTTCAAAAGGTAAACTCCTTTTATTATTCAAACTTAAATAGATATTATTTTAATTTGAAATATACAAAAGTATATAATTATCTTTTTAATAATCAAAATTAAAAAAATCAAATACATTTTTAAATTGACTTATTAAAAAAATAATTATCTTACTAATATTCAAATTAAAAAATATCGTTTAATTTTCAATAGTAAAGAGAACTATGAATTTAATATAAATATTAAATCTATCAATTAAATTCACCCTTTTTCCAATAGAATATACACATGATTTTCCCCATTTTTTGGCTCCAAAAGTTGTCTACCTTACTGATGTTTAGTTTACCGTTGTTTAATTCCGCAGTGTTCAAGTATAAGAATACTCAAGCTCACAGCGTTTACTTGCTGCCAAACTTGGGGGAGTCTGCGATTTCAGTAAAGCAAAGCTTTTGGGTAATCCAAGTGAAGGGCAAGGTGGTGGCCTCACATTTGAGTTGAAGCAATGGAGGGTATTTTACTTTGCCTCTGCTGAAGGTAATGATCGCAAAGATGGGGTGATAAAGCTCACAATTGTACCATGGCCACGTTATTGAAGTCCTTGATCTTCGGTTATATCCTTCTTTCCTTTTGATGGGAATATTATCATCACGTATATAGCGTTCAGTAATAGAAACATAGACTATAAAAGATAAATATAAACTTGGTTTGGTTTTTGTATATGAGAATATAATACAGTCGTCGAAAGCAAAGGAGTTGCGCTTTATTTTACAATTTGATAATTATTTTACAATATGAGAAAACAAGATTATTTCCTCTCTTTTTTTTCATGCTTGTTTGTTGTTATATGGTATCAAAAGTTTTCCTTTTCACGCTTCATCGTTCTGATTCATTGAATGATAACTTCGATAATGACAGCAATTCATATTATTTGCATCAGTCTGACGACCCTGGTATGGTGCTTGGTCACACAATTTTTGTCCAACGACAATTTTCATAGCTGGAAGAGGTCGATGATGCTTGCTCTTCCGGCCAAAAATAAACAGGGTTTGTTGATGGTTCTATTCAAGCTCCAAACCCTTCGCCACCACAAAGGTTCAATGCATGGACGAGAGCCAGTAATCTGGTAAATTCTTGGATCTTAAATTCTGTCTCCAAAGATATTGGTGATAGCTTGCTTTATCATACGACTGCAGCAGAAATTTGGAAGGATTTGGTTGATTGTTTTCGGCAATCTTATGGGTCACGAGTTCCAGTTAAAGAAATGATTTACTGCAAGGTCAGATAACAATTAGCATTTATTATACTCAATTGAAGATTGTTTGGGATGAACTTTTTTTTATTAAGCAGTTGTGTAAGTTGCCTGAGTTGTAGTTGTGGTGGTGTTAGGCGCATGCTTGAAGAACAAGAAGAACAAATTATTCAGTTTTTGATGGGATTAGATAACTCGTGTACTCATATACGAGGGCAGATTCTTCTCATGGATCCTTTACCTTCGATTTCGAAGGTGTTTTCTTTGGTTATACATGAAGAAAATCAAAGACCTGCCAAATGTGTTAATCTAGATTCTGAACCTACCTTTACTGTCAAAGCCAGTTATGGTAACCACCAGAATCGACCACAATATAGCCATTGCAACATTCTCGGTCATACAAAAGATAAGTGTTACAAACTACATGGTTATTAATGGCAAGATGAAGAGAAAACGATTATGAAAGGTAAAAGAAATGTTGGCTAAAGATGATTGAGGCATTCCCAAGAATGGGATTAATATAGCCTAGCACAACTTATCAGATCAACACTAGAGTTTGATCTAATAGAAAGTTGGGCTGGAACACGAATCAAAACAGAATCGGTTATGAGAAAACGAGCACCCACATCAAGGCCAACATTCCAATATTCACCCCACTTTCTCTTCTTCCAAGGAAAAAACTTCACACAGCTAAGAACGAGTATCCACCACGTCGCCGAGAGACCTGACATTCAATCTACTTCTCAACAACTGAAACCGAGCAGAAGATAAGAGCTTAGTAAGCACATCAGCTATTTGAAATTGTGCTGGCACATAATTGACCGCCAGCATATTGTGAAGAACTTTGTCACGAACAATGTGCACATCTAAGTCCACATGCTTGACTTTAGCATGTAGAATAGGATTAGCCAGCGTACTTGTGTTATCACACCAAACAACTGGAGTGTTTGAAACATCCACACCCATATCAGTCAGAACACCTTGTATCCACAAAACTTCAAAGGTAACATATGTCAGACTATGATACTCTGCCTCAGCAATAGATCGAGAAACCGATCTTTGTTTCTTTGAATTCCAAGACAACACGAGCTCTCCAAAAAGAACACAGTACCCTGACACCAAGCGATGATTATCTAATTCACTATCCCAGTCAGCATCCGAGAAAGCTCTAACTATAACAGAATCATTATGAGCTGGTAGCCATAAACCAAAATCTGAAGTACCATTCAAGTAACACATTATACGCTTAACGAACGATCAGTGCACTTCACGTGGCTCCTGCATAAACTGAGCAACTTTATGAATAGCAAACATAATATCAGGCCGCGTATGACACACATAAAATAAAGCACCCACATCACTACAATACATAGTGGCATCAACTAAAGTACCACCACCCTCCTTTGTCAATTTTGGAGTAACATGAATAGAGTATCAACAGGTCTAGAGGAAAACATACCAAACTTAATCAACAATTCCTCTACAAACTTCCTTTGATGTAAAAAGAGACCAGCTGAGTTGCGAACTGCCTCTATTCCCATAAAATAGTGAATCAATCTAAGATCCTTAACAGAGAACCTATCATTAAGCTCTTGTTTCACCAAACTAGCATGACTGTCAGATGAACTGGTAATTAAAATATCATCAACATAAACCGCAATGTATGTAACAACACCATGATCATTGTAAATGAAAAGAGAACTATCTGCTTGAGAGGACCGAAAGCCCAAGACACAAAAAATCACGCAATTTGGAAAACCAGTTCCTCGGAGCTTGATGAAGCCAATAAAGGGCTTTTTTCAACTTACACACCAAGGGACAGCCATTACCATCATTGTGCACAAACCCTTCTGGCTGATTCATTTAAACGTCCTCCTGCAGATCGCCCTTGAGGAAAGCATTATTGACATCAATTTGATGCACCTGTCAACCACAAGTAATAACAACACACAACAAAATGTTAAGAGTAAAAAACCGAACAACTGGACTAAACGTTTCAAAGAAGTCACACCCTGAAACCTGAGAATAACCCACATTAATTGGTCCAAGAATTGGTCTTCTAACTCCTCGGACGTCAAGAATAATCAGTTGGTTCACGCTAATCCAAAATTAACGGGACACTGATCTTCACCACAAATTTGATCCATACAAATGTACTCCAAACGCTGTTTTAATGGCATTTAGCAAAGGTTGTCAGTAGTTTTTTTGGTTCTGGACCTTCTAGTGGACCCTGGAAAACTGATTCTTCATCAACTCACGTTTTACACATTCTTTTTAAAGCTTTAATTGCCCGATACAGTGTTTAAAGACAGATTTCTGAACAGTTGTAAAAAGTATACTAAAATTTCAACGTTTGGACAACCTATCTGCAACTTGGTAATGAAAGAGTTTGATTGCCTTGAAATTAAAGTTCCTCCTGTTCACACATCTTTATGATTGATTATTGGATTCAGGGGTTGCAACAACATAGTTGGACTTCTAAAAGCCTGAAAAGAAACAACATCGAAAGCTACTTCTTTTAAATGGCTTGTTTTCTTTTCCAAACCCACATTTAAAACATGCATCCCTTCATCAAAAATAATAGAACCCCCACCCACTTGCTGTGATGTGGGACAGGGCTTGATTGAATCAATTTCCAGACAAATAGAACCCTCTGTCTCTAATGCTATCTTTTTCAATTCATCCCAAAATTTTCCACCAGGTAAGGTCCACATACATTGAACTTATGGGGATATAAAGACACCGCGGAATTTAGCATGCAGATAAGATGAAAAATGTGTGGTTATCACCATGGTTTTGGCACCTTTTGTTTTATGTTGCTTCCAAAGCTAATTTGACTTGAGGTCGATAAACACTTGCCAAACAGTGAACCAGAAAGGGTAATGCAAAGAGTTCACTGAACCTGAAAACAAATGCTATATCCAAAGATGGATGTGGAGATGGTGAGTGGATGAGTGCTGCTTTTGAACAAATTGAATTTTTAGTTTCGTTTCGCATGTCTTTCGGGAAAAGTTAAAACTTTTGAGTGGTTAAAGAGAAAGAAATCAGTTTTGTGTTGGTCTACAGCTATTTCCAATTTGATGTAGCAGGAAGGAAGTAGAAAGCAAAGGCAACTAAAAAAGTTGGGTTTAGCATCAATGGTAGCTTTTGTTGGGGTGCAAAACAACCAGCAGCAAGCTTTCCTTTTTAAAATATTGCTCCAAGTTGTACTTTTTGTGACTAAAATATTAGTTGGAGAAATTTCTGTACTTCAATCAATAACCTCAGTGGTATAGTTTTTTGTCTTTCCAAGTGCTCACAAACAACACAACAAATTCCGTATTATTTCCATTTATAATTCAGAACCACTACCCAAGAACTTAAAAAAAAGGGTTTTTACAGCAAAGCATTTATTTATTTTATGGATAATATCTCATGTCTGAATTAGTGTTGTTTTAAAACTGAGAATCCAAAGTTTTAGAGAATATGAAAAGATTTTGAGAAATGAATGTCGTCATGAGAACCAATATTGTCTAAATTTAGCCAGTATATGTATTTTGTCGTCTGGTTGTATGTTCTGGCTCCCACTATTTGTGCTATCCTACATCGATCTCCTAGAACAGGAAGAATTCTCAACAGAATATGCAATGCATCGTTCCCCCAATGTTTCAATTTTAAAATTACATATAGGAAGTAAAATATAAAGGTGGTGCGTAATTCATTAACTGTAAATCTTTTTTTTTTCGAGAAAAACATATAGGCAGTCTCATCTTGCAAACTAAAAGTTTTGTTTAATGCCTGGAGGTGATTAGGTATTCATTCATGAAATCTTACATTGTTGGAAGTTGTTTTTACCCTTTAGAAACAAGGAGAAGAAACGAAGACTAACGTATTAACACCAAGAGAAACGTAAAACCACCCCAGACTAGACCATAACATAAAACAGATTGGCTTATAGCCTAATTAGCCATTTATTTTGATCTTAATGAAACCCTGGCGTCTCAGCTGATAACGTGGAGCTCATATATTCTCTAACCTCTCTTGCTATCACGTCTCTCATCACATCCCAAAACTCCGTCGGCACTCTCTCCTCTCTCCTTCTCTCCGCCGCCGCCGCCGAGCTTTTAATATTAACACCACTACCAGGCGGCGCAAGGGTCAACGCCGTCAACGCTTCCTCGTCTATCACCATTCTCATAGATCCCAATGCACTATGATCACCACCATCCATTGGCTGATGATGAGTACTCGGTAAGATCTGTTGCTGATGTTCTTGTTGTTGTTGATGATGTTGTCCTTCTCTTGCCCTCCTCTTTAACGTTGAGTTCCAATGATTCTTCACAGCATTATCAGTCCTTCCAGGAAGCAATCTAGCAATGGTTGCCCACCTGTTACCATACCTAGCGTGAGCAGCCAAGATGCTTTCATCCTCCGCCTGAGAAAACGGACGGTGTTCGACGTTGGGGCTCAGCTGGTTACACCATCTAAGCCTGCAAGATTTCCCTGATCGACCCTTTATATATCGGCTTACCAAAGTCCAGTTCCTAGGTCCATACCTTTCAACAAGCCGAGTCAAAATCCTATCTTCCTCGGCACTCCAGGGACCTTTAATCTTCTCAGCTTTGTTTGAAGCCCTCGCAGACATATTAGACTCCGAAGAAGATGAATCAGATGATGTTGTAGAAGATGAGCATCCATTCATTGCTTCCATCTTAATCACTTTCGAGCCAGAAGAACAATAGAAAAAGAAAAGCCCCCGTCTCTCTCTTTCTATTGCTTTTGGGTTTAATCTTTTGTTTGATATTTTCGAATGAGGCGAAGGATGAAGAAGCTGAGGCGAAAGGGGTTGTTTATATATGAAAAGGAAAGGTGCATGAACATAGCATTTGGAGACTGGGGTACTTCCAGGAAACTGGCTTTTGTAAAGTTGGTGGGGGGTCCGAGTATTAGTTTATTGAGAGCAAGGTTCGTGTAGATTAGCACCCCTAGGTTTTATTACTTGTTTCTTTTTATTATATGATTTCTTTTGTTCCTTGGGGATATCTGGATCCAACTAAATTTCAAATCAACTTGGCTATATTTGAAGACATAAAGCCTTAACTTACTCTATTTGTGTAGTGATTTTTCATATGGTACCCTAATCCCAATAATGAGTTTTTTTTCTTAATGATTTAGTTTCATTTAGAATTATTAATCATCATTTTCAAATAAATAAGGTATCTCTCTTTATTAAATCTATTAACTATTAAAAGTCACAAAATGATCATCATATTATAGAATGTTGTTTTGTTAGATTCTTCGACTATTAAATATTACAAAATAGTCACTCGACTATTCATTATGTTTTAAATTCATCCTTTTCCATTAAAAATTGACGGTTGTCTAAGTTGAACGTTAACATGAACGGAATATAATAGTCATTTGAGATTTCGAGGTTAGATTTTATCATATCACAATCAGGAATTTAACGTTCAACTCAGAATACCATCAATTTTTAAATAAAAATGATGAGTTTAGAATATAATGAATGTTCGTGTGACCATTTTATAACTTTTAAAATTCAAGGAACTTAATAAAACATTATCCTATAGTCGGAGGACTATTTGTATACTTTACCCTATATTTAATTGAAATAGATACTTTTAAACTTAAGGGGTGTATGCGATTAATTAATAAATAATTAAAGCAAGCTTGCTTAAATTATTGTTTTACAATTCATGTTTACTGAGTTGGTATAGAGTGATATGCAAATACCTTTATGGTAATATTACCAAGAATGTTAATGTCAATCGGCAGAGAAATAATATTGTACGAATCACATGGACATGGTCATGGATAAGGTATTTCAAAAGTATATTTGCACGGCCAACATTAGAATCATCTTCATGAACCTTCTTGTGGTATTCCTCGTATACTTCAATTTCTCGACACCCAAATAAAAAAAAAAAAGTTGATAATAGTAATTAGACATGGTACCTTCATCTATCCATGGAGGTAGAGACAAATAAAAAGAAGAATGATTATTGTATACACAAAGAAAGGGGGTAAAATGGAATTCAAGGGGGGTCTTAGAGAAAAATAATAATAATAAAATCACTCAAGTACTCGGGCAATGCTTATCGGGAGCGTTTAAAACATGACAGGGAAGGGGAAGCTGTTTAACACGTAACAAATGTTTTAAAACGGAAAGTGGGACCCTTACAACCTTTTTTGACTACTTTTGCTAGAACCAGACTTACAGCTGTATGTCCCCAATCCACGGCCCACCATTTATTTTGAGTCGACGGCTTCAATCAAACCCTATCCATCTCTTAAACAATAAGGATTTATTACGTTTTTAGTATCTAAATTATTAATTTTAGTCCATTTGAGTATCTAAACTTTCGATTTTTTAAAACTCATATCTAACATTTAGTCTTTGTTTCATTTTAATATTTCGTCATTAAAAAATTAACTAGTGATTCGCACGTGACACTTTTTAATGGATAAATTACATCGTCTATCACTCAACTATCTTCTCATTCCTATTTTGGTCACTAAAGTTTAATTTTTTTTATTCAATTACTTAACTTTCAAATTACTCCTAATTTATTCACTCTAATTTTCAAAATTATTTTTTAATTTTAATTATGTTTTTAATAAAATAATAATAAAAATGTTTTTAATATTTTTAAACTTTACTACCAAAATATAAGTTAGAAGATGGTTGAGTGGTTAATGATGTGATTACTCATTAAAAAATGGAGTTTCGTTAAGTTTTAAATACAGAAGTACTAAAATGAAACAAAAACTAAACATTATATATTATTTTGAAAAAACTGAAATTTTGGGTATTAAAGAGAAATAAAACTGATAGTTAAGGTACTAAATATATAATTTACCAAAAAAAAGCACACTGTTAAGTGAGCCCCTTAAAATAACCCGTTTCAAAAGAGAAAATCGCCTCAGTGACCAAAAAAAAGTTATAATATACGATTTTAACCAACTTTTTTTGGATTTGCCAAAATGACCAACAAAATCGCAACGCGAAATAAAAATCGCAACGCGATCCCCAGAATCGCAAATCAGTTTCCAGAATCGCAACGCGATTCTTGAAAATCGCGATGCGATAGTACAAATTCGCATTGCGATTTTCCATAATCGCAACGCGAATATGAAAATCGCAACGCGAACACATAAATCGCAACGCGTATCCGTAAATCGCAACGTGTATCCGTAAATCGCAACGCGTATGGGTAAATCGCAATGCGTATCCGTATATCGCAACGCGTATCCGTAAATCGCAACGCGTATCCGTAACCGCAACGTGTATCCGTAAATCGCAACGCGTATCCGTAAATCGCAATGCGTATCCGTAAATCGCAACGCGTATCCGTAAATCGCAACGATAATCCGTAAATCGCAACGCGTATCCGTAAATCGCAACGATAATCCGTAAATCGCAACGAGAATCTGTAAATCGCAACGATAATCCGTAAATCGCAACGAGAATCTGTAATCGCAACGATAATCCGTAAATCGCAACGAGAATCTGTAAATCACAACACTGAAATTTTGGGTATATAACACTGAAATCATAAACTAAATCCCTAAATCGCAACTCATTCCATCTCCATCTATCACTCTCTCCGGCGACATCCGTTCCTATATCCAACGACATCCTTCCCCATCCGGCAACAGGTCTTAGTTTCGCATCTCGTTTGTTTAGTTACAACCATGAAATCATCTAATGTTGATCATGTTTGGATAGATTTGTGTTTTGGAGGGTCATGGGATAATGTTAATGGTGTTTTACAATATATGCCTTTACCCATAAATCTTCAACTAAAATTGTCTTTACAAAAGTTAACTTATGAAACTCTAATGCTACGTGGCGTATGATTGCAAAGAGAATAAAAGATTGCAAAATGTTTCAAGTTAGGACTTTTATTGATAAACATACATGTTCAAGAACCCAAGTTTTTCCTCACCATAGACAGGCAAACAAAAGGTGTTGGGTGGTTTTCTGGCTGAGTTAATGTTTTTGAATGGCAGGGTATATCGGGGACATGAAATTATGACTGACATGAATGCTCGGTTCAAGATTAGTATATCATATTCTCAGCTTGGAGAGCCAAATGTTATGCCTTGGAATTGTTGAGGGGGTCGCCAGAAGCATCGTTTGCCCAACTGCCGGCTTATTGTCACAATTTAAAGCTGAAAAATCCTGGGTCGGTAACTCATATCAAAACAGATAGAGATGGACGCTTTGAGTTGCTGTTTATCGCCATTGGTGCTACGGTTAGTAAATCAATATAATTTTGTTGACTCATTTTTGTTAGTTACATGCATTTCACATTAAATGATTATATTTCTTGTGTATATTATTTTGTAGATTCGTTCGTTTATTACTTGCATGCGCCAGTTATTATAGTTGACGGAGCACATTTGAAAGGTCGATACCTTGGAGTAAACTTATTAGCAGTAGCCATGGATGCTAACAATGGGATATTGCCAATAGCTTACGGGGTTGGCAAATCTGAAACCTCTGATTCATGGACATGGTTTTGGGGCATCTTAGGGATTGCATAGGTCCTATTAGCAATCTGACAATCATATCCGATAGGGCAAACTCAATTGACAACGCTGTTAGAAGGTGTTTCCCAGATGCTTTTCATGGACTTTGTGGTGTTCATTTGTATAGAAATCTAAAATCAAGGTCTGCTGGTATAAAAAAGCACAAATGGACATACTGGAAGGCTGTAAAGCTTATCGGGAAGTGGATTTCAATAAGCATATAAATTGTTTAAGACGTGTTTTGCCTCAGTGTGCTCAAACACTAGAAGATGTCGGGTTTGAAAGATGGTCAAGAGTACATCAACTTGGAGCAAGATATGGTTTCATGACGTCTAATAGTGCAGAATCAATCAACGCTCTAAGTCGTCATTCCCGGAAATTACCCATTACTATGTTAATGGAGTTTTTTCGAGCCTCTATTCAACAGTGGTACTACAAGAAAAGAAACCATGCAGGTATTTCTTTGAATTCGTAACTTATCATATTTATATATTTTACTAAGTATTGTTTATTTAAATTTACAGGAACATGGAACATCGTGTTACACCATGGACTGAAAAAAAGATAACGAAACGTGTTGTGAAGTCAACGTCATGGAGAGTTGAACCATGTTCAAACACTTTGTTTCAAGTACTGGATAATAACTTAAATGGGCTAGTCGATCTAAATGCAAAGACGTGTAGTTGTATGAAATGGCAAACATCTGGTTATCCGTGTGGCCATGTTATAAAAGTTGCTCTTCATTTAAACCAAGATGATTCAAGCGCATACGCTATGGATTGCTACACTACAGAAGTTTATCGACAGACTTATGCCGAGATTGTCTACCCTATTCCACATCCTTCTGAGTGGGACATACCAGATGACTTACAAACAGTTTTGCCACCAGCCATGGACAGAAGGCTACCTGGCCGACCAAAAGTCACGATCGTACCGTCTAAGGGTGAAGAGAAGAAGAGATCGACATGTAGTCGGTGCAAGGAAAGTGTCATACAAGGTTGACATGTGGATCACCAGTGCCATCAAAATCATCTTTTCCTCTACCAAAATATGGATCCTCATCAAAATCAAAGCTCATATGGTGTGAACTTTGTATTATGTAAACGTTGTTATTCAGTTGTATTATGTAACGTTTTAACATTTAACATTTTATGTGTATTATGTAAACGTTGCCATCAAAAGCTCATATGCAAACGTTGTATTATGTGGATTTTATGTGTGAACTTTTAACATTTTCAGTTGAATTAATGACTCAGGCCAACCATTTTGACTTAACCAACTCTTGTTATTCAGTTGTTATCACT